GTAAGTGAGAAAACCAGGAGCTTTAGTCGTAAAACACGTGAAAATACAATCCCGTTACTTGACAGTGCCCTGTTGCGGCACGCGTCAGGCGGTGTGTCAGACCGCCCTTCTCCATTAAAGGAATTTTTCTTATGCACTCTAGAATAAACAAACGTAGATGTTGTTAATAAAATGGAGTAGAATAACTTAAAGCTATAACTGAAACTCGTAGATACGGCTTTTTCGAGAAAAAAAAATCACACCGGCTTATGAAAACGCACTGAAGTTGTGCGCATAGCGACGTGAATACGTGAGGCGTGGACATCGATTTAGAGTATTGAGAAAAGATACAAGGTATGCTACAGTGGAGGGAAATAACAGGATTGTTTTAGAGAGTACGAGATGAGCGGAAGGAAAACTAAGATGAAGTTTATACAGTATTCTCGTGGACATAGACGCGCATGCACATTCTCGCACGTAGTCCCTCACAAACTCGCCTACACGCGCATAAAATATATTAAGAAAATCGTTAAGAATATGCCAGCTAGAAGAAAATAAATAGGGTAATGCCCCTTAAGAAACACAAAACAATATTATATCTACATTTACAACAATCGCTTATTTGATTGATACTCTGAATATTCACCTCCATGTACCAAGTATAAACACATACCAACAGTTTTTTTTTGCACACGTTCACATGTGCGTAAAAACGCATTATTTTGTCCTTACACACACGCATACGCTTATAAATAAACGTATGCTTTACCGTACTCATAAATAGCTTAACATATACATACTGTATATGTGTAGAGAGAGGCGCTATAGAAGAAGGAAGAGAGAAAAAGGAGAGAGAGGAAGCAAGTATGAGGGAAAGGAGAGGGAGGCAGAGAAAACGAACATAGATAAGGATTAGTCGAAGGACGAGGAGACAGAGGATGTGAGAGAGTGAAGGGAAAATGAGAGAAAGGGATAGGAAGGGTGAGAGTGAGAGAGAAAGGGAGAGAGAGGGAGAGGGTGAGAGAGAGAGGGAAAGAGAGGGAGAGGGTGAGAGAGAAAGGGAAAGAGAGGGAGAGGGTGAGAGAGAAAGGGAAAGAGAGGGAGAGGGTGAGAGAGAAAGGGAAAGAGAGGGAGAGGGTGAGAGAGAAAGGGAAAGAGAGGGAGAGGGTGAGAGAGAGAGGGAAAGAGAGGGAGAGGGTGAGAGAGAAAGGGAGAGAGGGAGAGGGTGAGAGAGAAAGGGAAAGAGAGGGAGAGGGTGAGAGAGAGAGGGAAAGAGAGGGAGAGGGTGAGAGAGAAAGGGAAAGAGAGGAAGAGGGTGAGAGAGAGAGGGAAAGAGAGGGAGATGGTAAGAGAGAAAGGGAAAGAGAGGGAAAGAGATGGTGAGAGAGAGAGGGAAAGAGAGGGTGAGAGAGAAAGGGAAAGAGAGGGAGAGGGTGAGAGAGAAAGGAAAAAAGAGGGAGAGGGTGAGAGAGAAAGGGAAAGAGAGGGAGAGGGTGAGAAAGAAAGGGAAAGAGAGGGAGAGGGTGAGAGAGAAAGGGAAAGAGAGGGAGAGGGTGAGAGAGAAAGGGAAAGAGAGGGAGAGGGTGAGAGAGAAAGGGAAAGAGAGGGAGAGGGTGAGAGAGAAAGGGAAAGAGAGGGAGAGGGTGAGAGAGAAAGGGAAAGAGAAGGAGAGAGACCGGGAGAGAGGAAGTGAAAAGGAGTGAGATAAAGAGGAAAGGAAGTTGAGAGAGTAAAGGAGAGGGACGGAGGTAAGGAAGAAGGTGGGAGGAAGGGAGAAGGAAACTGAGAGGGAGGAAGGGAAAAAGAAGGGCAGAGGGGGAGCGAGCAGTGAGAAAGAAAGGGAGAGAGAGGGAAGGGACAGGGAAAAAGAAAAGGAGAGGGAGGGAGCAAGGAAAAAAGGGAGAGGGAAGGAGGGAGCGAGCAAGGAAAGATAAAGGGAGGGAGGGAGGGAGCGAGTGAGTAATCAGGGAAAGAGAAAGGGTGAGAGAGGGAGGGAAAAGGAAAGGGAGAGGGAGCAGGGAGAAAGGGAAAGGTAGGGAGAAGGAAGAAAGGGGAAAGAAAGGGAAAGAGGGGAGAAGGAAGAAAGGGGAAGTAGGGGAGAAGGAAAAACTGGAAAGGGGGGGGGGGAGAAGGGAGAAATTAGAAAGAAATGGAAAGGTGTGGAAGGAAGGAAGGCATAAGAAAGGGGAAGGGGGAGAAGGAAGAAAGAAGAAAAAAGGGGAAGGGAGAAGGGATAAAAGAAGAGGGATGGAGGAAGAAGGGAGACCATTGGAGGGAGAGGAGGGAAGGGGTAAGAGAGAATAGATAAAGAGAGAGGGGGAGGGGGAGGGAGAAGAGAGGAAGAAAGGAAGGGAGGGTGAAAGGAGAAAGAATGGGAGGGAAGGAGAAAGGAGAAGGAAAGGGAGTGGAGAGGGAGAAAGAGAGAGAGAGAGAGAGAGTGGGAGGAGGACGGAGGTGAAGAGGGGAAGTTGAGAGGGTGGAAAGGAAATAGAAAGATCGAAACGAGAGAAGTGAGAAAGCATTATGGTTGTTTGTGTCAGGTTAGTAGTACGAGTACATTGAAAATATAATATCTTGATTTGCATAATATATAATATGACAGCATTAAAACTATAATCTGCCTGATAGATAATTGTCATTTTTTCCCACATCGTTGATTCTTAAACATTATTCCATATCGACCTATATATTAATTAATTAAACATATACCACAGACAAAGCCCCCTTCCGGAGCGGCGTCCCTTCAACGCGCCCATTATCAGCTCTCTTATGTAGATCACAACAGAGTCCTTGACGGCGGTTGAGATTACCCACTGAAGGGGCGCTCAGGCTGGGGTTCTCTCGCCGTGAGGTCAGATAACTGTGCGACCTGCTGAGTTTGTGACTACTGCTTCTGGTTCTGATGATGGGGGCTTTGTTGGCGAGTAGTAGTAGGTGGAGGTGGGGAGCGAAGGGGATTCCGGGAGCTGTCTTTGGGAGCGCAGGACTTCTTCAGGGGGTGTTCCCGTATCTGCTGTTGAAATGAGGGTGTGCGGGTCCAACGGTGTTCTCAGACTAATTGCTTTTATTAAACGATTTGTTAATTTAAGCTCTCATGTAGATCATAAACATCGATATATTTACTTTAATGAACTGCAGTCATAAGGTAGAATGCATTAACGTAAATATACCGATGCTCATGTTATAGATGAAGGTTTGAATTAACAAAACATATTGTCAGACGAATGGTCTGGACGCGCATATCTTCACATTTGGTTCGCGTTTTGGCATGCGTAGGAAATGGAAGATGGGTTTGTGTGGGTACGTTGATAGGCCTTTTGGCAAGAAACGAGCAGGCGAGTAGAGGGAAATGAACAGACAGGGCGCTCAACAGACTCCTAGGCGGTTAGGAAGGCTGACTGTCAAAGAGGTAAACGGACACGCGGCGCCTGGTGGCCGCTGCTCCCAGGGTTTTGCTCCTGGTGCCCTGATACCAGATTTTATTTATTTTTAGACCACTTTCTCTGACCCGAGATTGGACAAAACCAGTCCAGTACTCGCTGGTATCTAGACCAGTTTATTCGTACCCGTTTTGGGTATTGCTAAATGCCATTGTTCAGTGAAGGACTGGCCCGCCGTATCCGGGTTGAATCGAGGTAAATCACGAGATAAGATAAAGATTAAAACAGTTAGGTTTGATAAAAACTTTGAAGTAATAAATCAACAAAGGGTGATACTTAGAATTATAAATATTAATTATGAGGCTTTCCATCCACTTTCAAAGCTCATTGAAAAGAAAAACAATATTTTTTGCATCATATCGTTCAGGAAACCATTAGTCCTTACTGCTGACCTCTTGGTTAGCAGTTTGTGCATTTCAGCTCCTGGAGATTAAACTGTACACACAGCCTGAAGTGTATTAACCCCAGTTATCTTGATCAAACAGACACAGCAACGTGTAAAAAGAGGAAATGAAACACAGCCACTAAAAATGGACAGTAAGTGACAGGTCGGGCCAGACTTCAGATCAGTAGACGGTAGTAACAGAATTATATTATCGGTTTTATCGTCAAAAGGATAAATCTGATAGCAATGCAACTTTCCTTTGTGTAATAGATGTATATGATATCAGCTCCATATACCTATTTTTGTGTACCGGTTCCTCATTTGTATTACTTGTGTCTTTTCCTCACCTATGCCCTATTCACCTTGATTAGCCTATGTTTCTGTTACCTTACCTGTGTTCCTTTTTGCGTGTTAAGCTTAGAATATCTCCTGCGCGTGACTGTAAACAAAGACCATGTTATTATATTTACACGAGACACCCTCGCAACAGCAACCGCCATGCAAGTCTTATTATGACCAAGAGTAAAGGAGGTATGGTAGGAGGTGCCAGATAAAGTTTATCATGAGCAGGGAGTCGGATTGATAAACGTGCTGCCAAGGTGGATCTTAGGTCACGTAGTCATTATCAGATCGAGTTCACCTTAGCGGTCATTGAGGAATTGGTCAATAGGAATTGAATGATTTCGGAAGGTCAGGCTGTCAAGAAGTTTGTGTGGCTTTGCAAAATCACTTATTTCGTACTTGTTTCGTAGCTTAATTACGAAACGTACTACTTCGAAAGATAATTAAATTAGAACACTAATGTTTATTATTATTGTGGAGGGGAATGGAAGGAGGGAGATCGACTGGACTGCAGTAGTGCGCCGCGCGTGGAGCTGTCAGTTTGGGGTCAGGCTGGGGTCGATTCAAGGCGCGCCGGTTGGGGGAGAAAACTCGGCCGTAGAAGAGGGGGTAGCAAGGGCTTTAGTATTTTATAGTATAGTTTGTAAAGGAAGGAAGGAAGAGGGGGTGAAGAAGGAGAAGAGAAGAAAAAAACATTTGCCTGTGACCTGAAACAGTAATTTGTTAATATAATTATTATCAAAGAGCCCTTTCCTGGCATTCCGAAATTAGTATCTGAGATTGTTGGTATTGATTTAACTGCAGCATTTTAGATTGTAGTAGATTATGGAGTTTGCGTTCAGAAGTATGTAAAA